CTTACCCTGTCTTTTCTACTTCCAATCATCACTTTCCACGCCGCCCCTTGAGCCCGGCGCCAATCCGCCCGTCCTTCACGCAATCAGCCCTCCCCACGGTCGGGTCTGCCCTCACGGTCGGCCTTCTCGCGCGATCGGCCTGCCCTCACGGTCGACTCCTTGGGTCGGTCTGCCCTCACGGTCGGCCTTCTCGCGCGATCGGCCTGTCCTCACAGTCGGCCCTCTTGGGTCGGCCTGTCTTCAACGGTCAGCCTGTCCTTACGGTCGGCCCCTTGGGTCGGCCTGCCCTCAACGGTCGGCCTTCTCGCACAATCGTCCCTCTTCACGGTCAGCCCTTTAGCTTGGCCGGTAGGCCCTCTGCTCGGCCTTCGCGCGATCAACCCTCTTCACGGTCGGACAATCCTACCCTCGCCTTACCAACTCGGCCGTCCATCCCGGTCGGACTCATCTTCCTCATACATATTCCCTTCGTTGGTCTGAAGCTGCACTCGGGAATGGGGGACTACTGACATGGACAGGCCCACAAAGGCCATGAACCACTATAAATAACCCGAGCCCATCATTCGGGGCCCAATGCATAACCCTGCCGATGGAGTCCGGAACAGCTGGAATCCAATATGGCACCAAGAACCAACAGCATTCAGACACGCGGCGGGTGGAGGACGAGCCACATCAGCAGACAAAGATCTGCAAAGTTATTGCCACTACACATCACCATTAATGCAGTCCATCACAGCATTTATTACGACAACACCTCTCCGTCGGAACAGGACCCCCTTACACTGAGCAAGGTAAGCTATAGCATAGGTTTTCGGCAAGAAGAGTAGGTCGGAAGGGACAACGAAATGATGACAAAAGGATATAAACAAATGTTGTAGACAAGAAAGAAGGTTAAGTTCTCTATCTCGAATCCTCTTCCATATACTCTGCTTCTCTTCCTAACTTGTTCGTCGGAGAGTTCGCTGGGGGACTATCCCGTTCCCCGTTGAACTTGTTTGCAGGATATCCGGAGGGCTCGATCTTCTGGGCTTGGCCTTGGGGAGCTTGGACTAGTCTGATCCATCCACTAGGACGAACGGTATCAACAGTTGGCGCCGTCTGTGGGAACGCTCTGCTCCGCACGCCGGTTGTGATCACTGTCGCCGGAGGCCCCGTTCCAACAACCTCTCTCTCCTACCTGTCAAAGTGCATGGTCACGACTAGATCCATGGCTTCTCACAATAATGATACCGACCATCAGAACGACTCCCCCAATCCAAACAACCCACCACAGTACTTTATTGAGCTTACCAACAGCATCAACCGCATGGCCGAACAAAACCAGGCCTTGATAAGTGCCTTACTCCAAAGGAACCTTCTGATTCCTCCTCCACCACCTCCAGACATTCCCCCCAACCGAGAAAGAACCCCGAGCCATACTGCCCCCCAACCCCATCCACCCAACCTGGAAGGTTTGTAACCTCCCCACCCACACATAAATCCACCACCACCACCCCCATACCCGTCGGTCGTAGCACCAGCCCCTGAAGGGGAGGCCAGCAGCGTCCAACCTCTACTGACTGACTAGGGGGACCACGTTCCACTCTGGGACGCCGAGCTCCGAGCAATGAAGCTCCAACTCCAAGGAGTCATCCAGAACATTCAGAATAAACCCTCTATCACGGCAAATTCGCTATTTGTTGCCTCCATTCGGGACAAACCTTTGCCCGCCAAATTCAAGATGCCCACCATTGACTCCTTTGATGGTACGACAGATCCAGTCGACCATCTGGAGACCTATCGTACACTCATGATCCTTCATGCCTTCCCCGACGAGATCATGTGTTGGGCTTTCCCCGTGACACTAAAGGGGTCAGCCCGACTGTGGTTCAGTCAGTTACCGGCGGACTCTGTCTCCACTTTCTAGCATTTCACCGACTCCTTCCTCAGCCATTTCATTGGAGCCCAACGCCAACGCCGTCCTGCAACCCAACTCCTCAACATCCGTCAGACCGAGGGGGAGTCACTACGTAGCTTCGTTACTCGCTTCAACACCGAAGCCCTACAAGTAGCGGAGAATAACGATAAGGTCATCCTTACGGCTTTCATGGCCGGGCTGCGATCGTCCGACTTCCTCTTCTCCCTCTCCAAAAACCCCCCGACCTCTATGGCAGCCCTATTATCCAAAGCTCAGAAATATATGAATGCCGAAGATTCACTGGCCGCTCGCCAAGATCCAATATCCAAAAATCTGCCCCCTAGAGAAAAAAGAAAAGACTCGGAACCGAGAAACACCCAGTATAACAGCCAAATGCCCCCATATCCCGATCGACCTCCTCGTACTGACCGGTCGGCACCAACACGACCCCCCGGTCGGTTTGAGCGGTACACACCCCTCAATTCTCCTATGGAACAAGTTCTCCACCAAATCCAACGGGATTACCCTCTCAAATGGCCCCTGCCTTCACGGACCCCTTCCAACCGGAAAATTCTACCTTTTTATTTTTCGTGTTTTTTTGTTTTTAATGAATTTTTTTAATATTTTAAGCAATTTTTTTAATTTTTAAATATATCTAACATAAATATACCTAAAAAATAAAAAAATTATGAAAAAAACTTTTTAAAAATTCACTAAATACCAAAAATATAAAAAAAAATACGAGAATTCAGTACATTTTTTATATTTTTATGTATTTATTAGTTTTTTAAAATATTTTTTCACAAATTTTTTATTTTTTAGATACATCTAAGTAAGGTGCATCTAAAAAATTAAAAAAATATTTAAAATTTTAAAAATATTCACTAAAAACAAAAAAAATATGAAAAACAAAAAACTCAATTTTTAAAAAATTTAATTCAGAAAACTTAAGTCAAACACATGTTGTATAAAAATTATTAGATTTGTATTGTGAAGTTAATGTTAGAATTTGATTTTCATTAACTAAAAGATGAAAGGTAACTGTAGCATTAGTACCACACGAGCCAAAAATATGTTGGGTTTTGGTCACTAACTTTAATTTTAAAAATAGTTTCTGACATTTTATAGAGTTTGATTGATGCAATATTCTTTTGAAAAAACTCCATTTGGTCTAACAACCATTTGTTTCTTCAAATATTCTTTATTTTATTTTATTTTATTTAGAGGGGTTTCTTCAAATATTCTGTAAGAACATTTTAAAATTATGAAATAGCATAATTTGTTTTAATTTTAGGTGTGAAACTACCCTCACCAACTAACAGTTTCACACTGCGTTCACATGGGAACCTTGCCCATTTAAAGAAAAAAAAACAACTACGTGTTCAGTGAGTTGACCATATTACATTTATTTGAGTGAACCCTCACTTGGATTGGAATTTGGAATGTGCAGTAAAAGACAATCACTTTTCTCTCTTTGTTATATTTGTAACTTTGTCATGTGAATTACCAAATTGAAAAATTATCTCCCTTTATTATACTTGTCCCACTGTGTCATTTGAATTATTCATTTAAATAATTATTTTTTAAATTATTAATATTTTTTTGGATTGAAAAAAAAATGTATAAAAAAATGTTAAATTATTAACATTGGTTCATTTTACCCTAAAATGTTAACAAATATAATTTTGTAAGTTTCACTACATCTCATATTCCATCGCTTCCAATTACATTTCTAATGATGTGGCAAATAATTTTACATCGAGAGAGAAGATTTTGTAAAAAGTTGATTGATTGATATTGTTTGCTACCCTGTTAACGATATAATGAAAAGTAATAAAATAATAAGATATGGTATTTCTCTAATTTTTTTTATGGAGATCACACCCGCTAATACACATGTTTAAGTAAAGATATTTATTTATTTTATTTTATTAGGGAAAGGATATTTATCCTTTAGGCTTATAATATGGAGACAAATATTCACATATGTCTTTTTTTTTATTCAAAAATATTCACATATATCATGGAAGAAAACACAACTAATTTTTAAAAAAAATATAAAATAAAGGGAGACTTATTTATAAGTCCATTTTTAGATACTTATGCTAGGTTAAGTCCTGTGTAATTTTTTATAGAGTCTCAAGTTCTATTTAGATAGGAATGTATTACACATGATCCTACATAAACGTAACGTGACGTGACACTTACATAAACGTAACGTAACGTGACACCTACATAAACGTAACGTGACACCTATACGTAACGTGACACCGACATAAACGTAACGTAACGTGACACCTACATATACGTAACGTGACACATGTACGTAACGTGACATCTACATAAATGTAACGTGACACCTATGATCCTACATAAACGTAACATGACGTGACACTTACATAAACGTGACACCTGTACGTAACATGACACCTACATAATACAATTATTTATACAATAATAATTTATGTAGGTGTCACGTTATGTATAAGTGTCACATTACGTTTATGTAGGTGTCACGTTACGTTTATATAGATTTGATCTATGGTAACATTCAATTTCCTATATATGATTTTATTATTATTTATGATATTAACATTTAATATTGAGGATAAATGTATCAACAAACTTATAAGAACATTAATTTTTTAATAGGACCATGTGTAATATAAATCTTCTTAATAGAACTTATAAATAATTTTTCTTAAAGTAATTACAAAATAAATATTACCCGAAAAGTAAAAATGTGTGCCGCGTGGGCAGAATCAAGGTATAGAGTGGATGCTCTGAGTTTACACGTGAGGGTTAACATAGCAGAATCTCCAAAGAAGACAAGTTCTTGAATTCAACAAAAGCCTTCGAAAAACCGACGATGATATATACCTACATATTCACAATGTCTACAAAACATGAATACAACAAAACGTCTTCCTTTCCTTCTCTCTCTACAATCCCCTCTCTCTCTCTTCCCTCTCCTCCCCCAATGAATTCCGCCGCAGTACCCCTACCCAACCACCTCATCGCCGTCGCAGCCGCCGTCAATCCCCATTCCACTCGATGTCCGCCGCCGCCGCCATTATCACCCTCCTCCTCATCGCCGCCGTCTCTCCAGCCCACGCCCTCGGCGGATCCTCCTCCACCATCGCCGTGATCTACGGCTCCGCCACCGTCTGCGGCATCGTCGCCGAACAAACAACCCGGCGAATCCAATGCTGGCGCAACGACCAGTTGATCGAAATCTCACCGGCGATCTCCTTCGACTACATCGCCGGTGGCCGGGATAATTTCTGCGGCGTGAAGTCCGGCGGCTCTGCTCTCCTCTGCTGGGACTCCAATTTCATCTCCAAGAGGATTTACAACAGCAGTTCGGTGCTCTTACAACACCTCACATTTGGGGATAATCAAATTTGTGCCCTGACCAATGTTTCTGGAAGCGTTCGATGCTGGAGAGATTCAATCTCGGCTCAATTCCCATCTGGGTCTGAACAATTTCGATCAATCTCATCTGGTTTAGGGTTTTCTTGCGGAGTTTCGATGATTTCCAACAGGGTCTCCTGTTGGGGTACCAATTCAACATTGGCGAGTAATATTCAATCTCAGTTTGTCAATGAATCAATGTTAGACATTGCTGTTGGAGGCAATCACGCTTGTGGATTGAATCTAACTGGGTTTTTGATCTGCAAAGGAATTAACGACTCTGGACAATTGAACATTCCATCAAATTCAGCATTCGAGTACTCTGGATTAGCTCTTGGTGCTGATCATACCTGTGCCACTCGAAAATCGAATGGTTCGGTGGTTTGTTGGGGTGGACATGGAATGTTTTCAAGCAATGTAACAGAAGGTGTTTTCTTTGATTCCATTGTTGCAGGATTGAATTTTACTTGTGGCTTGACTACAAGAAATTTTTCAATCCTTTGTTGGGGACCAGGTTGGCCTAACAATTCATTTTCCGGGTTTGTTCTTTCATTGCCAAAGATACTTCCAGGACCATGTGAATCTACATGTGATTGTGGTATATATCCTGACTCTCAAACACTCTGTAGTGGTTCTGGTAATATCTGTAATAAACCCTGTATTTCAGTGCCACCAGTTGCACCGCCACCGCCGACGCCAACGCCAAAGCCACCGCCGCCGCCGCCCAGTCCTACCCCATCGTCTCCATCGAAGGCTTTGAAAAAGGGTTTATTGGCATTTGCGATAGTAGGATCAATTGGGGCTTTTTCAGGGTTTTGTACCATAATTTATTGCTTGTGGAGTGGTGTTTGTTGCGGGAACAAAAGGATTCACAATTCTGTCCAACCAACTGTTACTATGTCCAATTCAATTCATGGCCAAGCATCAAACAACAGCCCGCCTTCACGGTCGTCCACGATTAGGCGTCAGGGCTCTCGCGCCCTGACTATGAGGCGGCAGAGGAGCGGAACCTCCTCTAAACATGCTGACAAGGCGGAGGAGCTTTCCTTCTCCGACCTTGTCGCCGCCACCAACAATTTTTCCCTCGAAAACAAGATTGGTGCGGGGAGTTTCGGTGTCGTGTACAGAGGCAAATTATGGGATGGCCGCGACGTTGCCATTAAAAGAGGCGAAACCGGTCTGAAGATGAAAAAGTTCCAAGAAAAAGAGAGCGCTTTCGAATCAGAATTGGCGTTTTTGTCCAGATTACACCACAAACACTTAGTTAAGCTTGTTGGGTATTGCGAAGAGGGGGACGAGAGGCTTTTGGTTTACGAGTACATGAAAAATGGAGCTCTATACGATCACTTACACGACAAGAACAATGTTGAGAAGAGCAGTAGCATCTTGAATTCATGGAAAATGAGGATCAAAATCGCGTTAGACGCCTCTCGGGGCATCGAATACCTTCACAATTACGCAGTCCCACCAATCATCCACAGAGACATTAAGTCCTCAAACATTTTGCTCGATTCGAATTGGGTTGCTAGAGTGTCTGATTTTGGATTATCATTGATGGGTCCAGAGTATGATAGAGATTTCAGGCCAATGAAAGCAGCTGGGACAGTTGGGTACATTGATCCAGAGTACTATGGCCTAAATGTTTTGACGACGAAGAGCGATGTGTACGGCCTTGGAGTTGTATTACTTGAGTTACTAACCGGGAAGAGGGCAATATTCAAGAGCGATGGCAGCGAAAATGGGGGAGCACCAACGAGTGTGGTGGATTTCGCGGTGCCAGCGATTATGGCAGGAGAGATGGGGAAGATTTTGGACAAGAGGGTTGGGCCGCTGGAGGTGCACGAGGCCGAGGCGGTGGAGCTGGTGGGGTACGTTGCTATGCATTGTGTGAATTTGGAAGGGAAAGATAGGCCTAACATGGCTGATATTGTTGCTAATTTGGAGAGAGCATTGGATTTATGTGATGATAGCCATGGAAGCATCTCTAGTGGTCAAATCTCCATTGCTTCAGAGTGAAATGAAAAAAAAAAACACTGATTTTTTTTTTATATTTATTTCCTTTTTTGGCTGATTTATTTGGATATAGTTACCATTATGGTGACACTGGTTCGAAAAACAGCAAATTGAAATCTTGTTCATGAGTTTTATTTTTTTATTTTTTTTGAACTTTTGCACTGTAAAGAGTAGAGATTCATCTAACATGAGTTGTAGTGTAGGATTTTGTGAACATTGACCGCCACAAGAAGCATTACATAACATGATTCTTCTTCAATTTTCAAGTGTTGTTTAAGGACCTCTTTTTTGAACTTTGTATTATTATGTGTAGAGATTCATATTGGCAAAATACATAGACAGAAGATTCATTGTAGACATGTTTGAATGCTGAGTGCATCAGTGTGCACATGTATTTGGTCAACGTAATGTGTATACATATTGATACATTGTAATATTTAAGTTCATGGTTTGTTTTTCATAAATTTATTTTATAATTTTTTTCTAAAAATTAATTTAATAAAAAAATAAGAAAAATTAAAGATATTTATCATTTTTATATAATTTTATATTTTGAGAAGTCAGAAATAATTTTTAAAAATTTTAAAAATCTTTTTGATATTTTAATTTTACCAAAATTAATTTCTATTTTTTAAAAAATAATTAAATTTTTTTTTCTAAATAACAAACGAAACATAGCCTAAATTTCCTTACTCCAAAAATATATGGATGTAACAATAAAAAAAATATGTGGATCTAACAAGAAATTTGTTACCTCTCATTCAAAAAAGAAAATTTTTAATTTTTTTTTTTCACGATTTGACTTAAAATAATGTGTCAATATTTTGTTTTCAAATAATTTTCCTGTCACATTATTGGTCCTGTTTGGTAGGCGATTTGACTTAAAATAATGTGTCAATATTTTGTTTTCAAATAATTTTCCTGTCACATTATTGGTCCTGTTTGGTAGGATTTATTTCCAACTTATTTCAGTTTTTAGCTTAATTTAAGCTATTTTGATGTATTTGGTTCAGCTTAACAATACAATTTATAACTTTTTGTAAGTCAAAAATCAACTTATTCTTTAAGTGAGAGAGAAAAAGTTTAATTTATAAGTAAAAAATCAGCTTATGGTCACAGATATAAGTTATAAACTGTTAGACTATAAGTTATAATCACTTTCTCACAGTTCTACCAAACATGGCCATTATAGAGTGATTTTCTAAATTGAAATTGTGAGTCTCTAAAAAAAAAATTAAATAAAATTGCTACCATTTAAAATTGTAAATTTCATTTCAAAAGTGGTATTTTTGTTGAGATTGTGAAAAATCAAAAATGAACTCCAGATTGTAATTATTGACCGGGTCAGCAGAATTTGGTAAGTCAAAGTTCACTTTTTGAGTTTTTGATTTTGTGTGTGATTTTTTTGACTTTCTTGGGTTGCGTGAGAGCGACGACGGAGGATGATATTATTCAGTGCCCGTCGTACCCATCAATCATCAACTGCTTTTGGAAAAAATTATTTTGGGAAATTTGATATTATTCAGTGCCCGTCGTACCCATCAATCATCAACTGCTTTTGGAAAAAATTATTTTGGGAAATTTTAGAAGTACTATTATATTAAAAATTAGCAGTTGATCCATATGATACGTCTGTTATTTTTTTAAAAAAATATTTGATGATATAACATGTATTATAAAAAAATAATTTTAATTTTAATTGAAAATTAAAATTAAAATTAAACTATAATGTTAATTATTTATTTTGATGATATTGATTCTATTATTCTATAAAATTGTTACTTGAATATTTATATATATTAATTTTAGTTAAATTATTTATATATTTTGATAATTTTAGTTCAATCTTATAATAAAAATGTAATTATCATATAATAATTTCATATGATATATATTAAATTATAAAATAGCAAACTAAATACTTTATTTTCATATTAAAAATAATAGTTAAATTAAAATAAGAATTAGTAATATAAAACTAAAAGTAAGTCTAATTATTTACTTTTCTTTTATATTCATTTGGAAAACAAAAATATATAGAAATAAAAGTGAGCATTGCATATGCATTTCATTGTATAAAATTTATTAAAATTTATATATATATATATATATATGTTTTAATTGGATTATCATATAATGATTTTATATGGTATATAAAATTGTAAAATAAACATTCTTAATTAAATTAAAATATCAACTTTATAAGAGAAATTCAACAACGATTAACCAAGAAAGAATCACATAATAGTATCTAAACCCAAAAAGAAAAAATAATAAAAATATTCAAATGATAGATAATCTCAGTGTACAAAGTGATTAATTATCTGTATTATGATATCAAAATATAACAGAACTTCTATTCAATAATTGAAAAAGTAACTCAAAGCAGTAAATCTAAGCTATAGGGGTTCCTCGAGAGTATTATTGTTGTGTAAATATTTTCTCATGTGAGTTGTGATTATATAAAATAATGTAGGAAATAAATTATAATTTCATATATAAAATCACTATAAAATTTAAACTACAAAACCATATTATATAATAATAATATAGAATTGATATTGAATATAAAATAATGGATGGAAAAATAAGAAGATAAAAAAAAAAGATAATTTAGCATTAAAAAAAAAAATCCTATACCCTTGAAAAAATTGAGGAGAAAAGCGTGAAATGTAAAATCGGTATTACGTTTGTGAATTATCTCAATTTCCGATGAAAAAATATATGGGAAAGAAATATTTATCAAATAGAGTCCTTATAAAATAGGAAAAGTTAGTATATTTTAAATTAGATTTGAGTTTGTATAGAATTCTATATTTAATTAAGAAAATACATACTAACGTGATTCTTTTAAAAAAAAGTAAACGTTTATAATGTAAACCAACAAGAAAAATGAAGAAGAAGAAAGATAATTGAAAACACACTTTATTTGTGGCTTTATATATTTTACCCTAGAATCAGACCCAAGTTGTTGTTCCAAAAATCTGCGGATCACTTTTTAAGACCAAACCTGGAAAATTAAACTCAATGCCAAGATGGTATGTATAGGTATCATTAAGCTGTGCTTGAAAACCTGCAATACATGTAAAATGAGAGACCAAATGTTTGTGATCATTTGTTGCCCAAGAAACATTTCAACCTTTCACACAAATGCTTGCATGATGCTAGTAAATAACACATGGGATGAATCTCACCAACCAGGTGATAATCAATAAGTTAAGTAATGCAATATTGGGACAATCAAATCTGGAAGAACCCATTAGGTATATCATAGCAGCCAACATCAATTTAAACCATAGAGACAAAATAAAAATAGAGCAGATTGTTTGAATAACCTGAAACCAACATTTGAATAACCTGTTCACAACCGTAAAATAACCTATTCACAGCCTGATAGAGAGAATGCAAAACAGCCCAAGAAATTGTGAGAAAGTGACAGAAAATAGTAGAAAAATAGGGAATGCAGAACAGCCCAAGAAATCGCGAGAAAGTGATAGAAAATAGTAGAAAAATAGGGATCTGGTAAACGCACTCAGAACTCATAAAACATGATAATTAAACCAAATAAAAACCATTTCTCATTTAGAATGCATGTCCAACAAACCTAGCATCAACCTTCCAAAAAAACAGATCACACAACAAAATTACAAACAAAGAATCATTTTTTTCCCGTCAGATCAGTACCCATAACCCTTAACATAAATAAACAATCCAAGCATAGACTCAATACCTACGAAACCCCTCATACGCCCTTAATCAGAAGTTAAACCCAACAAAACAGTGAAGTTTTGAGAAAATCCGGATCGTCAAATGAAAGAAGTGACTGTTGGATCTTCGAAATTGGGTTCCTGTCAGATCAATACCCATAACCCTTAACATAAATAAACAATCCAAGCATAGATTCAATACCTACGAAACCCCTCATACGCCCTTAATCAAAAGTTAAAAACACATCATGTATATCATATATATGCATGTAGGCGTTTGTATATATCAAAGAAAATCACCACCAAGAGAAATCACCCAAATCCATGAATATTTGAAACTAATCATAAAATTAATCACAAAGATACACGGGAAACAAATATAACTACAGATATTAAACATTGGAGCTAGTTTTGTCCAAAATAAAAACAGATTATATAAAATAAGTATGCAACTAAAAGTATAAGACAACTAAAAGTAATTAACTCAATTATCATGATAAACAATAAGTATGCAACCCATTATATAAAATCTAGAGCCAGCATTATGCATCCATGAGTTCAAATTTGTGTTAAAGAGTAAGATAACAATTTCAATGGAGATAAGAGTCATGGACTAACCCATTGAATGGCCAAAAACATGGGCTTTTCTCCAACCCAAATGATCCATTAGGGCTATTGCATCTTTTGCCATGATTCTTGTTCTGCACACAACAAAAATAAATTCTTTGAGGAGTACATCCACTATTCCAGCAGCTAGGAAAAAATTTAAAACACCACCTCAATTGGTCATATAGACCGTTGATCTAAATGTATATGAACTCGGGATTCATCTTGGCCCTTAAAACCAAATGTATCTCTGATACATTTGGGACATTTTCAAAAACCTTTCTTCCATATTATATAGATATATATATATATTTTCTTGGGGTGGGGAGGGGGGAAGATTGTAGGATATTAGTATATTGTTAATAAAGTTAAATTCTAACTAAACAATGACAGAACTTTTTTGTTCTTTTTAATGACAACTTTTTTTGTTTTCAAATTTGTTTTGCTTGTTTCATTTTAAAATATTTATAATTATTGAATTATATTTTAAAATTTTATATGACCTATAATTGTGAGACTTTTAGAATAAGAAGATAGAAAATTTTAGGGGCATTTACACATAAATCTTAGTTTATGAACTTATACTTCATTAAGTCTTAACTGAAAATTTTTAGACCTTTAAGTCCCATTAAATTTTTTATAGTTGAAATTACCCTTCAAACAATGATTGTTTATCATTTATGATTATCTATAAAGGAATATAATGATTTAACATTTATTTTAATTTTCAAAATTTTAAAACATCAACTTTCAAATTGAAAAAACTAAAAGAAAAAATTGTGTGCAAAAAAAAAAAAAAAACCAGATTCACTTTTCTTAAAACACTTTTCAAAAAATTCTACTTTCTTATTTTCTGTGTTTTTTGTTTTTACTGAATTTTTTTTAATATTTGAAACAATTTTTTTTTTTAATTTTTAGACATACCTAACATAAATATACCTAAAAAGTAAAAAATTTGTGAAAAAAGCCTTTTAAAAATTCACCAAATTCCAAAAATACAAAAAATATATAAGAATTCAG